ACCTCACGTGATGTTCGCGTTTATCAGTTAGCTGCCCAGTCCTTCCCATCAATGGAAGACCAACCATCCCACAGGTAATGCTCAACCTGAACATACTATCCGTATACAAAGTTACATATTCAACTATATTCAACTATTTGATAGTCTTAATTTATTAATATTTTAAATATTTAATTGTGTTGGTTGTTGAATACATTGAATATTTGATGATATTCAGAGAGAATCCGCCGCTCAGTGGTGAAGTACGTTATTGAATAAATAATATATCATCACATACGTAGACACCGCTGAGAATACCTGGTGGGATTTACGACTGTCTGCTCTGGGAACCCGTATCCGCTCTCGAAGACGCGGCCGCACTTGATGCCTACGAATTAGCTACTCACTGCCGCAGCGATCCGCCGAACGATCCGCCGAACGATCCTCCCGACGGGACAAGGGCAACTAACGGGCTAACGCCCGATTGGTAAACTATTTGTAGCCAAGTAAGTCTACATTCTCAACCACCGGATCATTTTCCCATCCCGACCTCGGACTATCCTTATATCCGCCAGAACTCACGAAAAGTAACTCTTCGCCTACCCTTCATCTCTCATTCTGTTTCCCTTCTCTCTCTAATGAATTCGCCTTTTGTTCTATAGGAAGTTGCTAGACCGTATTCGGTAGCACGCCCGTTAAATACCTGTTGCAGTGATTGATTACATGCCAGGGGGATCATATGAACATAACTTTCTCTTCAATCATTCAGAGCATGAGAAAGCATTCGAAGCGGACCAATTGGAACGTAGTATTTCAATGATCTTCGAAAAAGGAAATTCTCTGGCAAGAAAGGCACTATTACATTGCTTCTCTCGCTTCGCTCCCTCCGTAAATGACATGTGGATATTACAGGATCATGGTAGGGGAGAGGAGCACTAGGTTAAGGGCAACCAAAAATATGCTTCAAGCACGGTGGATTGTGATGGGCGGTCTCACACTCACTCAAGGGTTGTATGTATAGGGAACTACATAGTTAACTAGCTAGTTCCTCTTACCTAACCCGCGTCATTGCCATCTCGTTTAATGTTGTTCGCTTTGCCCAATTCATTAGCTGCGTTTTGGGCTTGGAAAAACGCTTCAGCCGTTTAAGTCCCGTGCTCGGCACAGCTGGTGCACCCGGCGACTGCCTGTAATATTCATCCAGGTCTTCCGAGGATATCGAGGAGAACGAGGCAGCATGCTGGATATAGGTGATTTCTCGGCCACCTCGAGTCTTGCGGGCTCGCTGTTCAGATTTGAGTTTCTCTAATTGTTCTGAATCCGCCTGGCAGTCGAGGGTTGTCACCTGCAGTCCGGGCAGGTTCATAAATAGGAACTTTTTAAGTTCCGGAAGCAATTGGGCATTGGGGCGATACGTGCCGCTGTCGTTATCAATAATGAGTTCGTATACAGCAGGGTCATACGATACCGGAAAGGCAGCATCACTAGCAGCGGCTGGCGATGTAGCTCGACAAATGGAATCATCTGCTGACTCTGATGAGCTGGAACGCGGGGACCGACTTCTGTGTTTCCGGGAATGGGACAAACGACGTTTAACAAAGAATTCACCCGAGTACGCAATGTAGATTGAAACGTTGCTGTGCATTGTGTGTTTGCTTAGCATGTCGATGCCGAATTCCTTCCCCGTCTCCGTGAACCGCCATTGGCCGTCCAGGGTAATCACATAGGTGAATATCCTGCCGCCCTGGTCGTAGTGGACGAATTCGAGGAACTGATGAGTGAGTTGAGGTGAGGGGGCAGGGAATACCCCATAGACTGTAGATCGATCAAAGTTGTATATCCGGACATGTTGGTGATGAAGAGCACGGTTGAGAATGCGGCCACGAAGGCTCTGCGAAGTAAACATGCCTTCTACGAAAGGCTTGAATTCAACATATCGATGGTAAAGGGAGGCCGGTACTGGGCCTTTCAACTGAATCTGAATAGCCTGAAAACTGCAACATAATATTGTGGTATGAGAATTTGCAAGTTAAGAGAATTAAATTTTGCATTCAGCAAAAGAAAATGAGAGAAAAGTAATGGAATAATAATAACAATAATAAACGAAAAGAGGGAAGAAAAAAACATACTTATATTTGGTTGTGGTCCTTTTGCCGTCTTGGGAGGGTTCAGTGTCAACCGTGCCAGCCAGAAGCCCGATTAAGGGCGAGAAGTGTTTACTCCAGAAGTTGGGCCCAACGGTGTACATGCGAGCATCCCCATCGTCGGAGGGGGTCCTGCCAAGGCATTGGACACTGAGGAACAGAGAAGGGTTCAGATGTTTACTTTTGCAGCAGACTATGCTCACGGATCTGAAGAAGTAGACTCTCTTGCTGGCCATGCCTTTGTGCACCCGGAAGGACTCTTCGGGGATGCCAGGCCAGTCTTCAGGTATGGACGGCACGACGAGGTCGACTGTTCCGAGTCTGTCATCACTATCGACGGGGTCCTCGTCGTAGATACGGCATTTCAACTCGAACCCGGAGGCGGGGACGTTGGCGACAATCCATTCGCAGTTCCAAACAGGGTTAACATTCCGTGCAACGGTTGGGGTGCGGTAAACCAGGTCAGGGTCCTCTTTGTGGCGGCGAGGGGAGTCTGCAGTGAGACGGGCGACAACGAAAGGGTCGGCGGAAAGGGTGCTGATATCAGCGATGGGAAGGTTGGCGGCACGATGAATGGTGAACTTAAGCGTAAAGCCCGGGGCGGCGCAGGGAACGGGGGTGTCGTCGAAGCCTCCAGCGGGGTGACTTGAATAAGCGGATTGGGCGGAAGGGCGGCGCGAGGGCAAAACCATACCTAGTTACAGCTTACAACTTACCTTGGGACAGGATATAATCCAGCAGCAGTGGATCCCGATCGCCAGTTGAATGAATTCCAATGTGTTGGCGGGAGGGAAGAAGAAATCAAGAGAGCAGAAGTGTAAGTTGAAACCTTGAGAGTCAAGAGTCCAGAATCACAGAGAGCAGAGTGTGTGTATCTACATGTCTGTAAATGAGCATGTCTATTCTATTCTATTTAATAACAAGCTACTTAGGGCGGACGAATATGAATAACCTGATGAAATATCCCCAATTTCGAGGGTTAAGCTCGGGTTTCCTGGAAACTCAGATTGAGCAAAAGTCTGCTGCAAGTTACCAACAACTTCTGATATTCATTATAATACTTCATTTATACAAGCATGCTTCACTCGCACGCTCGCCACGGTGTGATATAACATGATTTTAATCACTCAACAATTTCTACTACTCAACAATTTTTTACTACCTATTATTCTACAGCTTTGCTGAATTGTAAATTTAAAACAATCATGAATTGAACTACTACTAGCTATTAAATATTAAATGAGTGTATTTTAAATTATATATAAATTAATATGATTAAGAAAATATATAATTATTATTATTATTCTTTATTTAAGATGTATTTAGTCAGTAACTATGACATCTATCTAGTTAAATTAGAATTTAATTACTTTATTAATCTAAGTAATAAAGAACAATCAATTTATGTATTTATAGAGTTTTATTTTAAAATAATATAGTATTTAATAATTTTTTAATAATAGATATATTTATAGTTTTAATTTTAATTTAATTTTTTTTTAATTTAAATAAAATAAATATCTTTTCATATAATAATATATTAAATAACTTAATATATTATATAATAATATAAATTAATATAATTGTAAAATAAAATAAAATAAAATAAAATAATAAATTAATATAAAAAAAATCTTAATAAAAATACTATTAAAAATATATTCTCAACTTTTATAGATTAAATATTAAATATATTTAAAATTAAAGTTTATTCTTTAAAAATAATTTTTATTTTCTTTATAAACTTAATTAAAAACTCTTTTTTAATTTGTTATTAAATAAAATAATTATATTTAATTAATTAATTGAGTATTTTTCTTTCAATAATATAATACTGTTATTGATAATATGATATAAGATTGATATATTTCAATTTTAATTATATTCAATTGCTTAGATTGATCTATTTCAATTCTTAATTATCTATATATATTGAGCTGCTCATTTACTCTCATATTTTAATTTTCAGTTTAATATTCTTATCATAACTATCTAGTTATATAAATAAATTAAGCTTTTATCTTGTATATTATTATATCTTTAAATTAAGTTATAATATAATACTAAATTTCTCTTTCTTATAAACTCTAGAAATTAAATAAACAAATCTTATGTTCATGTTCATATTTATATTCATATTCATATTTATATTTATATTCACATCTGTATTTGATTGAGCTTCTTAATAGTTGCAATCATATTAAGTATTCAAAACTCTTATTAATTTTTATTTTTTTATTATTCTTTACTTATTCTTATCTCTATCATAAAAGTTTTTCTTGCTGCTTTTTGTTAGAAATTTGAGAATGTTATTCAGAAGCTCTGCAATCAAAATCAATTGTTGCAGATCAAATTTCAATTTTTACACACTAAATATTAGTTCTTGTGAACAGCTCTAAATAGCTTTTAATCTCAATTTGTTAGGCTCAGTGCCCGACTGAGCCTGATCAAGGCCTAGCGCCCGATTAGGCCTAACCCTCATCATGTGATCACATGACCATGCAGGTTGTTATAACCTGGGCAGGTCTCAGCATCTTCTTTCATCTCATCAAGAAGTTATAAGAGACGTTCCCGCGGAATTGATGATAAACACTTCCTGTTCAACCTTGGTTGGAACAACAATTGAACTGGACATATGGATGGGATGAACATGAAAACATCTTAATTGATTTTAATCACATCTCTATAAGCTCTCTCTCATTCTCTCAGACAGCAAGTCTGATGATGTGTCAACACAGTGCTGTCAGCACATTTGGCCCCTCAACAACATCTAACAGGTTCTGAGTCTTGATGTGCATTTGATCCTCCATACACTAATCACTTAAGAGACTTCATCTCTCCATCTCAATCATCTGTCACATATATGAACTAAATAACATGAAGTCTTCAAGCTCCTCTACATCAGCAGACAGCTCAAAGAGTATAAATGTCACATCAATATGTCTCAATCTACATGGTCTGATGGCTAGTGAGCTTCTAGCTGTTCATGAAACTGAGATACAGAAATCTCATGCAGAAGCACTAGTTGCTGCAAATATACTTGATCAGATTGAAGAAGACTTAGATGACATAAAGACAAAAAATTTATCAAAAACATTGATTCTTGAAGTTGTCATGAAGGCATTAGTCAAGAACTGATACAATGAAAGTTTAAAAACAGTGAAGCAGTTCATCACAATTAAGTTTACTGACTCCATTGATATAACTGATGCAAGAGCTTCTATCTATGCAAAGAAATTTATAAAACATGAAGACTCTGCTAGTCAAAAAGAATAATATAGCAGCCACTCTCATCAATGTTCAGATAGAGAAGAAAGAACATTGAATCATCTATCTGATTTTTGAGCTGCTCATGAAGATTAGTGACTATGATGATGAAACTCTGCATCTTTTAGCAGAATTCATAATAGAAGAATTTACACTTTAAATCAGAGTTAAGTCTGTTCAGAATTTACTGAGTAAAAACACTCTCTGAAAACTCAACAGTTACTCTTATATTATACTTTTTACAAAAAATAGTAGCAAATCTATTATCAAAAGTAAAACTATATAAATATTAAAAATCAATAATCAGAAAGACATCTAAGATCAAAATACAACAATGCAGCAGATGCTGAAGATTTCATCAAAAGAGATACTGTCTCTGTATCTCTCATTGCAAAAAATGCAGTTTTAAAAATTATATGAAAGAAAATCTGATCTGTCATAAGAAGAATGAAGTGTGTAAATACCTTTATTACTGCACTAACTGTTTTGAATCACATGCTACAGATGATTTATCCTGCTTCATCAGATCAGAGATAAAAAATGAAATTGTTCAAAGACATTTAAAAAATTAGCTGAGAGGTATTTGCAATGCACAAAATAGAATATACTTAATTATGACAAATAACAGCAAATGTGATAATTGAGATTCATCAGCAGATTTGAGAGTAAATGACTCTATTAAATGTAGATCTAATCTCATACTGATATCAAAAACAGCATTAAGCATGACATCAAGCACAGCATCAGACACAGCATTAGACATGATGTTCAATTCAACATCTAATACAACATTCAACATGACATCTTGTGCAACAACATCTTTCTTTCAACTACTCAATGAAGAAGAACTCTAGATCTTTACAATTTCTGCAGATTATGCAAATCAATATAGAAAAAAAAAACTTAGCACATGAGATAGCTCTCAATCTAGTATTTGAAAGAAAGATTAATATTCTTCTTATACAGAAACTTTGAATTCACAAAAATTTAACTTGACATATCTTTAAAAACCATTCAGCATTCAACTGCTTTGCTTCAATTGAAAAGTAAAACAGAAAGTCATAAATTCTCATTTATGTGCAGAAGTATCTACAAATTCATGCTTATATAGTCTCAGATCTCTGAACAAAAAACTGAAACATTCACATACTGTACATACAGATCTAAAATCTATAGCTTCAAACAGTTAATATATACAATGCACTCTCAGACATAGAGAATTCTGAATAAAATATCAGCTATCTTCTTCTCTGATCTGTCTCAGCAATTTCTTTGCTTCTGATTGATAACCTTAATATCAAGTATCTTATGTGGCAACCAGAGGTGCCTTTAAGCATGTGGGTATAACCATTCCTGCAATGAATCATGAATTTTAACTTTACTCTCATCATGGACTCAGACACCCTTACATGTAGGCATAACATGCTAGACCTAGCCTAGGCCACTTTGGAATTAGTTATCAAAGAAGTAGACATAAAGATGGACAGATTTCTTTACACTTTCTATGATCATCAGACTCTTCTCATCAAAATCAGTCTTGCATGAGGTACAAGGTCTAACAGATCATCTCATCATTTCTACCTTGATATTATAAATGAGAAGGTCTTTAACCAGATGCTGAAGATCTATAAGACAAAACTAGACAAACTATATGATATTTTAGAGTAACCTAGTACAGATCAGCTGGATGCTCTGGCTCAGAGTATTATAAATGCATTAGTAGCTTCTTTGAAAAGCTTCATCAAGAAGAGCATCAGACAAGATACAGATCAGTCATAGTGAAATGAAAACTATCAAAAAGCAGTAACAACATTACATCAAGTACAGTATTTAAATTCTAGATTTTTACAAGAAGCAAAAGATAATATAGTCAGAATCATCAGAAAAGTCAAGAGAGAATACTGATGAGATAAAATAGCAGAGGTCTCAATGAGAAAAGATATCTTTAATATGATTAAATAAATTCATTCTACTGACTTCCTTCATTCTCCCTCTCTTGTAGATAAAGAGACTGAGCTAGTGTGAACAAGTTCTAGAGAGAAAAGAGATCTTTTGCAATAAATGCTCTTACAAAAGACTGCAAGCAGAGAGAATATCTCAGTTAGGTAATCTGATTCATCATCTGTCAAATTATCATATTCTGTTGTCTCAGTACATGAGATACAAAACTCTCTGCTAAACACAGATAATATCACTTCAGAAACTGATGAAATACCAACAGAGATACTACAAAAAACATGATCACATATTAAGATATCAGTGAAAAGACTGTTCAGAGTCTGTCTTAAAGTTGACTAACATTCAATCTTCTTTCAAGAAATCACATTGATTGTACTGTTTAAGGCTAATAGAGATTCAATACTTTTATAATTCTACAGACTTATAGCTCTTCTCTCAATATTGAGAAAGAGACTGAAATATCTAATAGTTCATAGACTGATCTGAATAACTATACATGAGAAGATTATTCACTCTCAGCATTTTGAAGCCCTCTCTGAGCAGGCTGTCTTGAATCTAGTGACAGCAATGATTCATGATATAAAGAAAGTCTAAGCTTATGAAAAAGTAGTCTCTCTTCTTACTTTGAATATCAAAAGTACTTTTAATGCTGTACTTAGAGAAAAAATACTGCAGAGACTATAAGAACAAAACTGATCATCAAATTTAAATTAAATGAGTGAAAAGCTTTATGACAGAATGTACAGATAGAATTAAAATAAATGAACTTCTGAGAGAGCTTTTTAATATCACAGCAAAGCTTTCACAAGACTTGTCAGTCTCATCTATTCTCTTCATGTTCTTTATTTAGTTTATATTCTTTCTAGAAACTATACAAAGAAGATGTGCATACTCAGACTATGCAGATAATCTAGAACTGCTTAGTGCTGAAATTACTCTTGAAGAGAATGTTGTTACTCTTCAGAAGAATTTCAAGTCACTAAATAATTGAGTTAGCAATGAAGAGATAACATTTGACTTTGTTAAAACTGAGATAATACACTTCACACAGTGCAGAATTCTTTCAAATCTCTTAATTAATCTTAAAACAACATCTGATATTCACTTTATTACAGCAAATGTAGTGAAAAGCTTCATAAGATATATAGAAATCTGACTAGATAGAAAATTGAGCTTTAAGAAGTATGTGAATATCATGATAGCTAAGACACAATAGATGTCTAATGATATATATGTGCTAAGCAACATGACAAGAGATGTATTAGTACAACTACTCAGATAATCTGTTCAGATCTGTGTGCTCTCTGTGCTTTGCTATGAAGTAGAGACCTGATTATCTGAAGTTACATGAATGAAGAAGAGAAAGAAAATCTTCAATCAAATAGATTATCTAGTCAAAAAGCTAGATTTAATTCTCAGAGATGCTTTATAAGAGACACTATCAGTCTATAAGATCATATTTATTTCAGCTCTACACTATGAGCTAGAAATCATGTCAATGAAAGATACACTAGACAATTGATATACTGTCTTTGCAGTAAGAATTAAAAAGCTGAACAAGAGGCATCTGCTAGTGAGATGCTTTAATAAAGTAGCTATCACCCAGCTCTATATCATATGTCTGTCTAGAGTATCCAGTCATGCTTATGAGATAGAAGCATATGATTCTTTACTCACATTCTTTTGAATGAGAATCTCAGAAAAAAAGATCTGCAGATTGAGTATAAGACAGATTGCATAAAGAAACAGATAATATAAGACTTTAAGAGCTGGCTGCAACAACACAATCTTCTGAATCTAATGATCTTTATTGATAGTTCACAGATAGTGCACTCTTAGTATATGACTGATGCAGAATGAGCTATATGCTGAGATAGTGAACATCATCTAGTCTTCACAGAAAATCTGTCAATGAATAAAGTAGAGGTCTTTGACACAGAGGCAATGACAACTCTACAAAATCTAAAGAAAGTCACTGTTTTTTCTCAGATAAAATATGTTAGCAACATCTATATTTGTCTAGACAATTTGAAGATAGTATGAGCTCTTGAATCTATGTCAAACATCTCTATTCAGCTGGTCTTTGTATAATTTCTAAAAGCTATAAAGATCTGACAAAGCAGAAATAGACTCTCATCAATCATTCAGAGTAGAATGATTATTAGATAAGTCTCAGACCACACAGATATAATCAATAATGAAAAGACAAATCTTGAAGTCAAAGTGACTGCAGTACAGACAGCAAGTACAAGAACAGTATCTCAATTCAACAGCATAGACACACTAGTATATATAAAGTGATATATTATAGAACAAATCATGCAGGTCTTCAAGAACTTTTGAGTTAAAAACCTGCTTAAACACTATATGAAGCTGGAGATCTCACTGAAGAGAGTCTTAATAAAAATAAAACTTTTATATTTCACATTAGAAAAACTCTATGCTGTCTGATCAGATCATGGAGACTTTGCAGCCTATCACAACTATCTTAAGCATGAAGATGCAGAGTGCTACTGTCAGTATAAATATAGTAAAATCTCAGAATATTTCTACTATTGCACTTTTACATGAAAAGCAGCAAAGCAGTATCAGTCTATCTACAATCTTTACAAAGTACTGACAATCTTATATGAAACTCTAGAATTTAATAGCTGGCTAAAAGAAACAGTCTTCTATCAGAATATTTGTTCAATGTGTCAATATGCATGTTCAGATCAGATCTCACAAATCATCTTCTTTTCTATCTTACTTCTGTTTTCTTCATCATCTTTCTCTTCTTTCTCTCTTTTCTTCTCTTTCTTTTCTTTCTTGTCTTTTTTTCTATCTATCTTCTCTACCTTCTATTACCTTCTTCTCATAAACTTAGAACCTCTCAAAACCTCTACTTTGTGGCAACTGACTTACAGACTCTG